CCGTATAGATTAATTTTTGAAGCCTTGTATTCTGGAGATAAACTGCACTTAGTTACCGTGTGCTATCTTTGTTACGTGTTCTTGTTTTTGGTTTGCTGAAATTTTATTAGGAATTTTTGCATTAATCTTTATGAGGGTTATTATTTTCTATGTTTCTTTCCTTGTGATATCTTTGTCTGGTTTTAAAATCATCCTATTAATGTTGATGTCATCGAGTGACTTGGTACGTATTCCCTAATGTGTAATTTTTTGAAGATTTATGTAGAATTGATACAATTTCTTTCTTAAATGTCTGATAGAGTTCATCAATGAAGCCACTTGGTATGGAGTATTTTTTTGTGGGAAAGTTTTTTAAAAACTAGAATTTCCACTTTTTACTAAATACAGGGCTAGTCTGCATATTTTTTTCTTTGAGTGAAATTTGGTTGTTTGTCATACAAGGGTTGTATCTGTTGTCTGTGTTGTAGAATTTATTGACTTAAAGTTATTCATAATCTCTTATTATGTATTTAAAATTTTTAACATTTGTAGTGATGTCTTTTCTCACCTTAGTAATATGTAAAATAGTGCCTTTCTCTTCTTTTTCTTGTTTTAAATTGAAGTATAATTGCCCTGTAACATTATACTAGTTTCAGGTACAGTGTACTTAAATGTTTGTATACATTGTAAAATAATCAGAATAAGTCTAGTTATCATCTGTCATGATACACAGTTATAAAATTCTTTATGTTGAGAATTTCTAAGATTTAACAACTTTCAAGTATACAATATAATATTACTGACAGTAGTCACCATGCTATATGTTACATTCCGATGACTTACTTATTTTATAATTGGACTTTTTTACCTCTTGATCCACTTGACCCATTTCACCCACTCCCCAGCTCCTTCTCCCCTCTGGCAACCACCAGTCTGTTCTTTGTATACATGAGTTTTATTTTGTTTGCTTGTTTTATTTTTTAGGTTTTACATATAAGTACAATTATATGTTATTTTTCCTTATTTCTCTGGCTTATTTCATTTACCATAATACCCTCAGGTTCTATCTGTGTTGTTGCTAATGGCAAGATTTCATTTTTTTTATAGCTAGTAGTATTCCATTACATACATATACATATATGTATATATATGTATATTCCCCATCTTCTTTATCTATTCATCTATCATTGATGGACACTAGGTTATTTCCATATCTTGGCTATTATAAATAATACTGCTGGAGTGAACATTGGAATGCATATATCTTTTTGCTCCCCCCACCCCTGATTATTCTGATTTAAGGATGTTTACTTGGGGTGAAAGCTGAGGTCATTGATTGGAGATCATTTTTCTTTTCCTATATAGGTGTTTTAGTGCTATAAATTGTCCACTAACTGGTCCTTTTGGTGTATTCTCCAAATTTTGATATATTTTGTTTTAATTTTCATTCAGTTAAAAGTCTTCCTAATTTTCCCTTTGATTTCTTTTTCTTTTTATATTTTTAACATTTTTATTCACTTTTTGAGAGACAGAGACAGAGTGCAAGCAGGGGAGAGGCAGAGAGGGAGGAAGATACAGAATCTGAAGCAGGCTTCAGGCTCTGAGCTGTCAGCACAGAGCTCAATGGGGTGCTCGAATATAGGAACCTTGAGATCATGATCTGAGCCTAAGTCTGCTGCTTAACCAACTGAGCCATGCAGGTACCTTGAGGCTTGCTTTAACATTTTAAGTGGGACCAGATATGTCTTTAGTCTATGGTTAATTTTGCCCCCTGCTGAGGTAATACCCTTCTGAGTACTCTGATTCCTTTCGAATTATGAGATTTTCCCCTCTGACTGATGGCAACACAACGTTTTTCCCTCTGTGTGTGAGTTCCAGGACTTGTTCCATCTTCTCCTTTTAGATGTTTTATTCCCCTTCCCCCGCCTCCAGCTTTGGGTATTACTTCATTTGCATATGCTGATCAGTACTTAGCTGAAGATATGAGAACTCTCTGTTCTGTTTCTTTGAAGCACTCTCCTTCATGATACTCTGTCCTGTGAACTCTATCCTCTGTATGCTTTCTGGACCTCCAGCTCTGTTTTATCAACAAAGGGAATCAGTGAGCTCTGGCTGGGTTGTCCATTTTGTTTTGTTTTGTTTTTGAGAAAGAGTGCAAGTGAGTGTGGGGCAGGGAGAGGGAGAGGAAGTGGGGCTCACTGGGGCTTGTGTTTTACCTCAAGTGGGGCTTGTGCTCACCTAATGTGAGACTTGAACTCACAAACTGAGACCTGAACCAAAGTCAGATGTTTAACAACTGAGCCACTCAGGTGCCCCTATTTTGTGGCTTTTATACTCTCCAGGCAGTAAGCTAGGAGCTATCATAGGGTTCACCTCATTTGCATTGTCTCTCTGCCCCCCCTACTCTCTTCCCCTCCCTCTCCCCTCACCCCCTCCCTGTCTCTCGGATCATTATCTACCTAATGGTTAGTGTTTGGAAACTTTTGTCTCATACATTTTGTCCAGTTTTTTAAATTATGTCAGTCAAGATGGTAAATCTAGTTCCTTTTACTTCATATTGGCCAATTGGAAGTTTTGAAATTTATATTCATCTAGCAATCAAATTCACATTTTTCAAGGCAAAATGCAAGTCTGGTTTACTTTTATATTTAGAACCTTTCAGCATTTCTTATTCTTTTAACAAATAAAGCTCTATCCATATGATCCAGTAATTCCACGACTGGATATTTACCCAAATAAAATTAAAACACTAATGCAAAAAGATATATGCAACCCTATATTTCTTGGAGTTTTATTTCCATTAGTAAATTATGGAATCAACTCAAGTGTATATCCATAGATGACTGGATAAAGAAGATATGTGTATATATATAATAGAATATTGCCCAGTCATAAAAAAGAAAGAAATCTTGCTATTTGCAACAACATGAATGGATGTAGATACTATAATGCTAAGTGAAACAAGTCAGTCAGAGAAGGGCAAATACCATATGATTTCACTCATATGGAATTTAAGAAACAAAGAAAAAGGGGACAAAACACCAGCCACTTAAATTTAGAGAACAAATTGGTGTTTACCAGAGAAGGATGGGTGGGGGAATGAGTGAAATAGGTGAGGAAGATTAAGAGTACACTTACCGTGATGAGCACTGAGTAATGCATAGAATTACTGAATCCTATTTTATACTTGAAACTAATATAACACTGTATGTTAATTATACTTGAATAAAAAACTAAAGTTTTGGATAATCTAGGCCTTTTTAAGCCTTATAGCATACGTGTTGTTTCACTGATTCTATTCAAGCTTTACTCCTTTCTTTTTGTTCCTCAAATGTATTGCCAGTCTTGCATTTGTAGTTATTATTCTATTTCCTTGGAGTATGCTTACTTCTCTCTTCACATGTCTAAGCATTCTGTATCTTTTTCTTACTTACCACTTCCTTATTAGGGACTTTCCTGACCCAACTATCTGTTACAGGACTTCTAATACAAGTTATTCCATCATGTGATCTTGTAGCACCTATGAAAGTGTTGTAATTGTCTTTTTTATTTCTTTTATCCTTTGTCCTTATTGATGGTTAAGTATTTAATTACTCTTAAAATTCTCCCTTTTCCCCCAAAGTTTGTTTATTTATTTGTTTGTTTATTTAGAGTGAGCACGAGCTGGAGTGGGGGGTGGTAGTCAGAGAGAGGGAGAGAGAGAAGTCCAAGCTGGCTCTGTGATGTCAGTACAGAACCTGACATGGGGCTTGATCTTACAAACTGTGAGATTGTGACCTGAGCCAAAATCAAGAGTCGGAAGCTTAGCACACTGACTCACCCAGATGCCCTTATGGTTACATATTTATAATTTCCCTTATCTAGAATATAAGTTGTGTTTTCTCCCTGCAACATAGTAGGAATACATTAAATATCTGTTTAATATACAGAAATAAGCCTTCCTTTACATTTATTTTTTATTTACAGTAATAAAATTTCTCTGATATTAATGATGTATTTTATCGCATAGTATAGGTTATGCCTTTTGATATAACATAATAGCATTACTCTGTCTATAACATCAATGGGATCTATATTGAGAAACAGTATAGGATCGTGATCTATGAACATACATGAGTAAATCATCTCATTCTGCTTAAGAGTAAACTTAAGTCTGTATCTCTCTGTCCCCAACAGATGGCATAGTATCTGGAGACACAGCAGGTGTACATGCTTATTAAGTATTTAATAAATGACTTTAAAAAATTGGAAATCATAGTTTTAGTGGTCTATATATCTTTTCTAAATTTCTTTGTTACCTCCAATCTTTGGAACAACTCAACCCCAAGTAAATTTGTTGATAGTGGCAACAAAATCTGGAATATCTTGATTTCTAATTGTGTCCTATGATAGCTTTGATTTGATGCAAACTGGACATGTTAGGATTATGATTTCTTTATTAGAAGGAACTAAAAAGTTACCTAGTCTTACCCTTTCATCTAATTTATCATGTCTTAGATTTATTACTTATATACACACTTGCATCTATGTTTTTCTGCCTTGAGAACATCAGAGCTGTTAGATTGAGAAAAATCTGTTATAATATTCCATTTGATTTTATAAAACATTTGATTTTATGTTTTAACACAGGATAACTTTTCTCTGCACAGTCTTTAAATATCTTTCTCTGGTTAAGTGAAGCAGCAGCTACACACAGTGTCTGGGTTATTCACCATATCTTATTACAGAAGACAAACTATATAGGTTGGGCATATTTTGTTTTGTTAATATAACAGGAAATTGAACCCATACTAATTTTTCATGTTGAAATACTGAACTAAGTATAGATTATTTTTATATTTACTAAGGTACTAGAAGTGTACATTAGACAAATTTCCACCCAAAACAATATTATTTTTTTGATTTAAAAAATTAAAACATAGTCTAGGCAAATGTTACTAGATGTTTTCTAAGAATTTAAGTGCTTCAAAATAAAAATGCCCTCATTTTTCTTGCTAAATATGTTTTTATTTATCCCAAAGTCCAAGAAATATGAATTTCCTTGCTGGAAGACCTGTTAGAGTTATGGATGAAGATTGTGGAAGCATGGATGAGCAAAGACAGTCATATTTTATTACTGAAAAACAATCAGTACAACATATTTGGAGAGAAAATAGAAGCGAGTTTTCAAATTTTCTTGAAGATGTGAACCAGCCAACAGCCAGCCTTATATCAGAGAATTGTAACTCTTTTATTAATGAAAATATGATCAATTTATTAAACATAGATCAACAGAGGATAAAGAAAGCCTTTGACAAGTGTGGTTATGACAATATGGGAGATAATTGCACAAACAAAAGTTCTGATAAAAATTATTCAACTGATAGATGCATTAGAAGTATTTTTACAGATCCAGCGTTGACTTTTAATAATTCTTTCAATGAAACAAATTATCCAGAAAGGTGTCAGCCAAATGAGAAATATCAGAAAGAGTACAATAAAAATGAAAGAAATACTTTTACTACATCTTTTGAGAAGGATTCTTATATAGCCAGCTCTGAAAACAAAGGTGAGTGTTATCCATGGAAAACATAATATTTTTTTTCTGTTTTCAGTTTTAGGTGTGTGTGCGTGTGTGTGTGTGTGTGTGTGTGTGTAGGGAGCCTTATGAAATTAAAAATAGAATAACATTTCTATATGACTTTTTGCATCAGTAATTTACCTCTCTATGGGTCATAAGCTTCAAATTTAAACAGAGAAGTTCATGTTAAGGTTTTCGTTCAATGCGTACTTTTATTTTTAAAGGAAAATTTGAAAGTGATTATCAAGAGAAGAAACCACAGAATGAAATCCAGAAACATCCAGTGAATCATATGTAAGTTTTTAGGTAAATCTGGAGAATACAGATCAGTATCTAGTATAATGCATGTTGAAGGTTTGAACTGATGCAAAATGAGGTAGGCAGATAGCTGTCTGAGGGTGTGTAGACCAGCCTCAATGATGGCTTACCCTCAGAATCTTGGTAATATCACCCCATTGGAGAGTATGGTGCTAGTATTTGCAGTGCAAAACTATCTGGAATCATAGTCTTAATTAGATTTGGGAAAACTGACTTACATATATAAGAAACTTATATACCCACCATAATGTCAGTTTATTAATTTATAGTAAGAAATAGAAGAGTCACATGTATTGCAATGCTTACTTGTGTGGTAAGCATATTTTCTAACTTTTGGCAGCTCTTAATGGGAAAGTTGCTTGTTAGTATAAAATCATAACAAGAGAGTGATATAATTTAAATATTAATAGTGAAAGCAAGAATATTAACAGTTTATGGGACTGTTATTATAGGTACTTAAACAAAAGTTTTCGTTTCAGAATAGCCCAAACTTTTCTTTGTAGTAGTTATGATCTAGTCAAATTTTGGTAATTGAAAATCATGAAGTAGAATATATTTGTATTCTGAAAGTACTTTCTTATGGAAACATTTAAAAAGTTTATAAAAAGAGTACATAGATACTATTTTTATGGGATCAACATGACAAATTAATCAAAACATAGATTCACAACTTAATAAAGTCAACAAACTAGTTACTTTGTTGTCAGATACCCAAATTTTCAGCAACTTGTGAAAAAAAAAACAATATGGTAGGCCTTGAATCATAGAATGTACTTTATGGAAGTGATTTAGAACATGGTTCCCAAATCTGGCTGCAGGTCCACATCACTTGAAGGGGTGATTTTTTCTTTTAAATTAAAACTACCAAGTTTGATTCACATATAATAAGCTCTTTAGGTTGGAGCTTATGAATCTTTGTTTTTTGAAAAGGTTCCCTTGTAATTCTGATCTGAAACCAACTTTGGGAACAATAATTTAGAACAATAGATTCCAGTAGGATTAAGGCACACTTTAAAAGCATCTTCTTTATGATCTTTAGGGGTAATATCTCTTTGGAAGAATTGCATCCTAAGCCATCGTGGGACTTGGCATTTGGTGAGGTAAAGCACATCTTACATTATGTTTCCAATTAAGTCAGTTGTATTGTGTCATTTTAGTATTGGCAGTTTACTTTGATTGAAAGTTAATCAGGCCGCCTGGATGGCTCAGTTGGTTAAGGGTCTGACTTCGGCTTAGGTCGTGATGTCATGGTTCGTGGGTTCAAGCTGACATTTGTGCTGACATCTCAGAGCCTGGAGCCTGCTTCAGATTCTGTGTCTTCCTCTCTCTTTGCCCCTCCCCCCACTCATGCTCGCTCGCTCTCTCTCTCTCTCTCTCTCTCTCTCTCAAAAAGAAATAAACATTAAAAAAAATTTAAATTTAGTTTTCATCAAAAATATCTTTTTAGGTTAATACGTTTTCTTTGTTTTATTTTTTTACTTTGGGGAAATTATAGCTTAGATTTAGAAATAAAATTAGTACCCTTTTAGACTATAACATGCTTTAAGATAAAGCAGTCTAGATACTTAAAAAAATTCTTTTTATAAGTCCTATAAAATTTTTTTCCAAGATGAAAACATTTAGGTTTCAATATCCTATGATCAGCATAGTTATATGTTTAAGAATACTAGAAGATTTATAAGCACTGGTTATGTAAGCTGTAACTACTCATAATAATGGTGTGATTGTTTCAACAGGAGCTTTATTGTGCTAGGAGCTTTATGTACTTTCTAATCTGTAAGAGCTTGAGTCTATAACGTCTTCAATGCAAAAGAGACTCAAGTTCAGAGAGATTAAAGAACTTGTCCAAGGTAACACACTCAAACCAGGATTCAGATTTTAATTGACACTATATTTTCATATATACTAATTGTTTTTCTCTTTTTCTCTCTGATAAATATACATTGAATATATATCATGTATTCATATAATAGAATTTATTGAGGGTCTCCTATATGCTAGACACTGTTACGACAGTGTTGAAAAAAAGTTTTTGTTCTTCTGAAGCTTACATTCTTTTATGCACCAGACTCTGAAAAGTACAGAGATGAAAGAACATGGAACCTATATTTAGGAAGGTATAGTAGCTAGCCTGAAACAGAAAAAAAAGGACCTAGTGCACTTAGATACATTGCTCCACTTGGGATCTTTACAAGGTTAGTAGGAACTTCGTAAAAGACACTTCTTCTAAACTTTCTTTTAGGAATTTTATGGTTTTATTTCACACATTTAGATCTTTAATCCATTTTGAGTTCATTTTTATGTATGGTATACATAAAGTGGGCAAGTTTTTCTTTGGCATGTAGCTGTCCAGTTTTCCAGATGTCATTTATTGAAAAGACTCTTCCCCATTGTTACTCCTTCTTCCTTTATTATACATTAATTGAGCAGATAGATGGGGGTTATTTCTGGTCTCTCTATGCTATTCCATTGATTTGTGTCAGCTTTTGTTCCAATACCATACTGTTTTGGATACTGTAGCTTTGTAGTACAGCTTGAAATCTGGGATTGTGATACCTTCAGCTTTGTTCTTGGCCTTAGCAACATATTTCTCATTAGCGAGCAACATATTTCTAATTAAAAGCAAAAATGAACCAAAATACACCCAAATAAAAGGCTTTTGTACAGCAAAGGAAACAACTGACAAAACAAAACTGCAACCTTCTGAATGGGGGAAGATATTTGCAAATGATATATCCAATAAGGAGTTACTATCCAAAACATATAAAGGGCTCATACAGGTCAGCACCAGGAAAGTAAACAGTCTGATTTAAAAATGAGATGAGGACCTAAACAGACATTTTTCCAGGGAAGACAAACAGATAACCTAACAAACACATGAAAAGATGCTCAGTATCATTAATCATCAGGGAAATGCAAAACAGAACCACAATGAGATGTGACTTCACACCAGTCAGAATGGCCAGAATCAAAAAGATAAGAAATAACAAGTGTTGATGAGGATATGGAGAAAAGGAAGCCCCTCTTGCATTGCTGGTAGGAATGTAAATTGGTGCAGCCAATTTATGCACCATATGCAGATATATGCACCCCAATGTTTATTGTAGCCAAGATATGGAAACAACCCAAGTGTCCATCAATAGATGAATGAATAAAAAATTGTGGTATGTGTGTATGTGTGTTAGTACATACATATATACACACACACAGTAGAATATTACTCAGCCATAAAAATGAAAGATCTTGCCATCTGTAACATGATTGGAACTAGAGAGTATAATATACTAAGTGAAATAAATCAGAGAAAGACATACTATATGATTTCATTTATATGTGTAATTAAAAAATAAATAAATAAATGAACAAACAAAAAACCCGGACTTTTAAATACAGGGAATAAACTGGTGGTTGCCAGTGGGGAGGTTGGTGAGGGATCAGCAAAATAGGTGAAGGGGATTAGGAGGTATTACCTTCCCACTTATAAATAAGTCACAGAAATGGAAAGTACAGTATAGGGAATGTAGTTAATAATACTGTAATAATGTATGATAATAGATGGTAACTACACATATGGTGAGCACTGAGTAATATATAGGATTGTCAAATCAGTATGTTGTACATCGGCAACTAATATAACCTTTTATGTCAGTTATACTTCAATAATAAAAATAAAGAAGACTGTTCTAAGTTTCATGGTTAGTCAGAGGAAGATGTGATAGAGGAGAATTTCTGATTTGAGTGTTAAGTTTACCAAATGGACAAACTGCCTTCATCCTATGAAGAAGGAACAATAATAGATAGCAACTAAGAGGTGAGGGAATATAGGTTGTTTTAGAAACTGTAAGTAAATTGTTTCATTGTAGTTACAGTTATTGCTTCTACTGTAGCATAAATTACAAGGGGTGGAGGAATGGCAAGAGATATCACTTGACATTTTAAAGGGCAAGGTCATAAAAGACCTTGTATGACATATAACAGTTTAATTTCCTATCATCAAACAGCCACTAAAAACCTTTTAGCAGGGGAATATTATATACATCAGAGTATTAAAAAGTTGAGGAGTGGCAGTGAGGATGGAAACAAGGGGTATTACAAAGATTTAGAAGATCTAGTTGATAGAACTTGGTGATTAGCTAAGTGAGAAGGAAAAAATTGAAAATAAATCCTGTATTTATGATTTGGGTAAAGGGGTAGTTGATGGGATGATGCCATTCACCAAGTCTGAAAACATGGGAGATGGTTGCAGAAAAGGTTAACTCACCACCAAATTTTATGTATCCTCTTTTATGGAATAGAACTGCTACTGTGAAAGGGCTACCCAGCCAAGGAGCACATTTTCTAATCTTCCAGTCAACTAAGTTTGGCCATGTGGTTAGATCTCAAGACGGAATGTTATCAGCAGTGATGTGCATCATTTTCATGCACTGTAAAAGGTGGGGATTCTTTCTTCATGTTACCCCTCATGTGATAGCTAGATGGTAGTGAAGTCCTAAGGGATGTTTGCAGCCACAAGATGGGAAGGACTGAGTCTCTAAATGAGTAGTTGGAGGAAAAGTACTGACTAAGAAAACTCATTTTACATTATTAATTAAGAATGAAATAATTGTGGGGCACCTGTGGCTCAGTTGGATGAGCATCCAGCTTTGGCTCGGGTCATGATTTTACAGTTCGTAGGTTTGAGCCCCGCATTGTGCTCTGTGCTGATAGCTCAGAGCCTGGAGCCTTTTTGGATTCTGTGTCTCTCTCTGTCCCTTTCCCAGTTCATGAGTTCAAGCCCTGCATTGGTCTGTGCACTGACAGCGTGGAGCCTGCTTGGGATTTTCTATTTCCCTCTCTCTCTCTGCCCCTTTCCTGCTAATTCTCTAGCTTTTGTTCTTAAAAATAAATAAATAAACATTTTAAAAACTGAAGTAATGGAGAAATCTATTCACTTCTGTCCAGAGAAGTGAGAAAAGACTGAGAATGAGTTGCTAGACAGGTTTGTGGAGTTTTACTAGAAGAATTGTAGAAAAGAGAAATGGGCAATTTTCAAGGATGAGAATATGACCAATAATATCAGATGCTGTCCTGTTACTCCTTTGAAGAACTTGTATTTTACTGAAAAGAATAATATAGATATAGGGGCTCCTGGGTGACTCAGTTGATTGAGTGTCCAACTTCAGCTCAGGTCATGATCTCGCAGTTTGTGGGTTCAAGTCTTGTGTCAAGCTCTTGTGCTGACAGCTCAGAGCCTGGAGCCTGCTTTAGGTTTTGTGTCTCCCTCTCTCTCTGCTTCTCTCTCTCTCTCAAAATAAATATTTAAAAAAGAATAATATAGATATATTCGCTCAAAGAAGGAATTGTCAGCAGTTTAGAATACTTAAAAAAAAACAACCCTCTTTTTGCCTATATCTATGATAGCTTAAATGTGGTTACAGCAAGTTGGAAAAGAAAATAAGCCCATTGAGGTAGAGCCTGAAGGGAATCAGGTGTTATTAGGAGTTCTTTGGGTAGACTAGGCATGAGGTTTATAATTTGTGATTCATGAATAAGGCTAAAGTGTAGTGGAACTTTGGCTAAAATCTTAAATTCTACAAGAGCGACCAAGACTTGAATCCACACAGGAAAGGAAGAGGGAAGCAGGAGGAGCAGAAGAAAGACAGGGCTGTGCCTTCCCTCTGGCTGGGTAAAATCAAAACAGGTAGTTCTTACTGAGGCAGAGTTAATGAGGGGAGAGGAGCAAACAAAAATCCATTGGATGGCACCTAGTAGGGAACGGGGAAGCAGGGGTGTTCCCAAGATCCTTTTGTTGGATGTGGAAGGGAATAGGAGAAAACAAGGTCTTGGAGGAGTATAATAATAGTTTTTAAATTAAGATTTCATTACATACAACGATTTGTCATTTTCAGGTGTACATGATTTAATGTATAAAATGTGAAATGATCACCACAATAGGTCTAGTTAATATCCATTACCACACTACAGTTAAAATTTTGTTTTTTCTGGGGCACCAGGATGGCTCAGTCAGTTAAAAGTTCTGGCTTCAGCTCAGGTCATGATCTCACAGTTCATGAGTCCAAGCCCTGCATCAGGTTCTGCACTAACAGTGTGGAGCCTGCTT